CTTAACTAAACCCTTAATCTATTTTTTCTCTTTTGCTTATTTCTCTGTGTGAACTAGAAAATTAAAGTTTATTTTTCTAAAAGAGTCRCTTGATTTATTCCATACAGAGATCTCAGCCACAATAGGATAAGATACTGGGACGACAGTGAGATATCTTCTCAGCTTTCCKCACTACARACGATCAACCTATCAGGAAATCCATCATGGACGCCATCAATTGAACTCTTAGAAATCGGCTCCCTAAAGAATATTAACGGTCTCACGTGGAACTCTCATTGTACGCAATGCWATCTCGTTAAGGAYATGGAAAAGAACAAGACTGAGTTATACAAGAMAGGAAATTACGGTGTTTATATAGTTTGGCACTGTAGAGGGACAGAGTATACAGTTACCAAGGAAACRCAAAWGTTTGCCAAATATGGATTTTACCCAGAATGCTTCAGCACAAACCGGAAGTGCTACGAATCTCAAATCAAAGGAACCAAGAGCCATCGATGTTGGGAGACTGACAATGTGATACTTTACCTGGAATATTTCRTTGGGATTATTTCGATTATTCTAAATATTACCGTGGTAGCGGTGACATTTAACAGCCCCCTTAAGAACGACGTTGCTATGCTCTTGGTCTCCAATCTGGCTTTTAGTGATTTCTTAAATGGCATTTATAGTATCGCTATTACAATATCAAGACAAGTATCAACTTATACTGTATTTCTAACGTATCTTGATAGTCTATGTTCGGTTTTGGGCTTCCTGTGGGTTTCTTCACAGTTTGGTATAATCCAAACATCWGTCTTACTAACAATAGARCGTTACGTCACGATTATATTCTCCATGAAACCACACCTTAAACCAACTCCAACTATTGCAAAATGCTTCATCTGTGTCACGTGGTTGGTTGCTATAACAGCAGCTGTGTTACCATTGGTTGGACCSATGGGCTCTTACGTCACCAACACWTACTGCGTTCCCATGCARCCCTCAAAACTAGTGCCAGGCTCTTTCATGTACAGCGTGGCCTTATCGGTAGTGGGCGTGATACTCTATTTTTTAACAATACCCTTGTATGTSAAGATATTTGTGTACGTACGACAGTCAAGCCARCGAATGGGAATCAAGCGTGACGCCAAGATTGCCGGACGAATCCTAATTCTCGTTGTSTCRAACATGATATTCTTCATACTTCCAATAATTATTGCCTTACTTTGGTTATTAACTGACATATTCAAGAAAGGGATATCAGTTCAGGCYCGCAATGTTCTCGTTGGTGTWTTTCCAACGCTGTGTTTGAGTTTAAACAGTTTTTTAAATCCTTTGTTGTACGCTTTCAGAAACAACAGGTTCAGACAGGCTTTGCGCTTCAGAATCAATCGGCTTGTAATTAGGCAAAACGTTGTTGATGATATCTCGTTGAARTCTAGATCAATGGGTAGTCGCGCGGACTAAAGACGCATACGTCACGCCTCAAACACCAAATACCCGTAGGCGGATACCTTCGATGGAGCAAACGCAGGAAAACCATGAAATAAAATCAAACTAAATACTAACAAATAGCGGCTATTTAGAGACAAATTGTCAGTTTCACTATAAGCGAGAACGCAGTGAAGATGAGCCCTCATGGGACCATTTTTAATTCATCTTGATTGCGTTCTCGTTCACTGATACTAACAATTTGTCTCTAAATAGCCGCTATTTGATAGTATTTAGTTTGCTCTACTGATTTTTTTTGTGCGTTTAGCCTTACTGTTTCACGCAAAACGCCGAAAACGATGATTTTTAAGTGAATACGCTTTGCGTTTTGAAAATGAAGATCGTTTTCGCATATACGCAAAAGATACGTCTTTTGAAATATCCGGATACTTGTGAACGCTGCCTCACTCGCACAGATTTCATTTGCTGGTTCCGGTCATGTTGTTTGTACGATCAATAAATGCTAAAGAGATAGCCAACATGGCTGCCACTACAACAAAGAAAACTAGCAATTGAAAATAATAGTACAGCAGCCTGGGGCCGGCTTTAGGATGTAACGCTATACAACGGGTAAATCCTTATTCACCATCATTCTTGGTGCGCAAGTTACGTCATCGCCGCCATGTTGGATGAACATCACAAAGCATTTCTCATTATTTTCTCTTGTTCATTCACTCAACATGGCGGCGATAGCTTTGTTCTTTATCTCTGAGGGGATCCGGAAAAACCTGGTCATGTGGTTGCACACCAAAAATACAAAATATAAGGCCCTGTTTACATGAGATAGAGTACCCCTACGTGGTTGGGCTAACTCTTTTGTTTTCTTTTCCCTGGAGGATTTAAAACAAAGGATTTTGGCCCTACCACTAGGGGCACCCTATTTCATGTAAACAGGGTCTAAGGAGTGGATAACTTATCTACCTTTCGTACAAAATTGTTCCAACAAATTCTTGGTAGACATCATGTGCACAAATACGTTGACCTGCTGAGCAGGTGCGCGCAAGATGAAATTCCAAAATCTTCAATTTTCGACCCCAAACAGGTCATATGAATACATAACTCGCCTCTTTAAAAAATTCGTTCCTTAACYCTACGTTTTCGTTGACCGAGAACGCCGTTTATGTCTAGACGGGAGGTTAGAACGATTATAAGCCATATATTGAAGGGTAAGACGAATCAACAAAAACCGTGAAACACAAACTATTAGATATAAAAGAAACGAATAGTTAGCAAATGGARTGCGCGCTAAATCCGCGAAACAAAGATGATAATTGCTAGTAAATAGTGYTACTTAGACAGTAGCAAACAAAGGTTTATAGAAATATTACAATAGCAATATTTCAAAATAAAAACAAAAATGACAAATGTACAGTGCATTGTTGTGATTTAGAAAATTTAATCAACATACATTTGTTGAAACGATGAATACATTATAGTATGAAATTTGTATGCAAAGGACAGTAAGGAAAGTAAACTGGTGACTGCAGTATTTTTTTTGTCCTTTTCCATGGCTACATTTACTGCACTACTAAAGTTCTATAAAGGAAAAAAAACTGTATGAATTGGATACTATTGTGGCCTATCTCCRACTCCCCCAGCATAATCATAAACTAATTGTGAAACCTCCAAAGCTAAAGCATCCGCAGCATCTCGTGTGTCAGCTTCAGCATAGACACGTACTACATCCTCTGTACCAGAGGGCCTAGCAAATGACCTTGCWTGTGAATACTTGCTAACAGCTTTGTTGATGGCTTCTTGTAGACCKTCAGGCTCCAAAGCCTCAGTTTCTGTCTCAGATGTCTTTAGTACAGTGCGGTTTTGAACTTTGACCTTAAGCTGCCTATTGTRCAGTTCTGTGTAACAACTGTACCAGGTCTCTAGATTCCARCCCCTTGCATTCAAGACTGTTTCCACGACCAACATGTCACTCATTGCATCACCGACTGATTGGTTGATTAGGTCAATCATGCTAACAAGCTCTGAGGCTGCTTTTTGCTCCTCTGCAGTTGCCTCTGTGGATTTTGCCAGCTTGTTGATCTTCGTTACAGCTTCAGTACTGAAGAGGATTGTTCCATGGCCATTTGCTTCAAAGTACACACCAATATCAAACTGTTCTGCTCTATGGTGGACGTATTTCACACCAGTCTTGGCAAAAGCTACAGGAACTTGAAGTTTCTCCTTAGCATACTTAGTAGAGCTACCATTAGCATATGCAGTCTGGACAACGCCAAGTTCTTTCTCGAGGGTAATCCCAGCAAGGTCGATTTTCTCTTTCAGATAACCAGCAATAAGGGTTGCTATCCTGTCACCATCAAGCAAGTGGAACTTCTTGTCATTATCAATAAAGAAATACATAATCCTATCACCATCGCCATCAAAAGTAACACACTTATCTCCAGGACTGATTGTCATCCCTTCCGGCTCACATTGGCGAAGTTTCACATAGTCAGCACCACACTTTTCATTCAGTTTTGAAGGATCATTTCCATTGAACACTGTTAATGGCAACTCTTCTTTCATGTGACTGGCTAGTTCTTTGATTTTAATACCACCAACACCATTGGCACCGTCTAATTTGATTTCTTGAGGTTTTCCTTTGGCTGTTGTAGACCTGAGTTGAAGGAAGGCTTTTGAAAGCTTCTTGTAGTATCCTAGTTCGGTAGCCTCGCCATACCCTCCTGCAGTATTATGGCAGCGCACAATATAATGAAGCTGTGGTGTTGTTAGAACACCTAAAAAAGAGGGAATTTTTGTGATATATTTAACAGTTAGACCTCAAGGTCGAGTGGACTACGAGCTAATAGCCCATGAGGCCGAGTCCGCGAGGCCGAATGGGCTATTAGCTCGTAGTCCAGGAGGCCGAGAGGTGTAATTGTTTTAGTATAAACATACTAATCRGTCAAATAATGAAAACAAATTGAAATATCCTTAAAATAATTTATAATTTATTTATTTTGATTTTCCCGCGAGTGGTCTATCACAAATTAGACCATTAGTAGAGTAGCCAATCACAGCGCAGTATGAGTGATAGACAATTAGTATGTTTATACTAAAAGTACTTAGAGAGGGAAGATTTTTTAAAACCTATTTATAATGTTTAGCAATGCTAAATAAAATAAAATGAAACCATTTTGAGACATAAAAATTATATTTTTAACACTTTTAGATTCAAAGTCATTGCTTGGGCTTCCTTTGGGTAACCAGACACGAGCACCTCAACATAATCTCCTCAAGGGGAGGGGGAGGGGTGTGTCTATCTTTTGCTCTTACCAAAATCATTATATATTCCTCCCATGGCTTGAATACCATCCATCAATGCCTTGGTAAATAACAGCCCGCTTGGTCTAGTATCTCGTGCAATAAAAACCTTGGAAAGCTTCGTTATATCTACCCCAGTATCTTTCACTATCTCATCCAATGCGGAAGCAATATCGTCGGCGTTCGCCAATGCGGTAGCATACTTTTCCCAAGACTCATTAAGCATTTCTCCCATTGGATCTACTAGCTTGACACCATTGTCGTAAACTGGATTGTGCGATGCTGTTATAACTACACCGATAGCTTGCCCCTCTTTGGCACGTGAACGAAGACTGGCGAGCATTCCCATTCGGCACATCACGGACTGAAGAGTTTCGGCTCTTGCACGAAATCCTGCCGTACCGTAGCTGTACTTGATGTCATGCTTTGGGTACTTCTTGCTTGCTTCTTTGGCATTTTCAAGCAGCTTTTCCATTTTAAAAGAGATTGAATCTTCCGAAATATTGAGCCAACGTGACGGACCGATGAAGCCACGTAGTTTCGACACAGGGAACCCGTTTGTTGACATTATCTGAAAATGATATTTTGCAGAAATTTATCCGTAACAAAATACTGCATATACTACCTTCACATTATAAACTCTCATATCCATATTTCTGGTGTGAAATAATAATACAAAATACATAACTGTAACCATTTTTAGCCAAAGACAAATTGAGTATTTTTGGAATACCTGTGTATATATTCAAGCGTGCGTCTTGTTGTTTTCCAGCTGGTCAAAGTTAATAGTACAACGCGGGCTCGTTCTCTCTGCTGTTTTCGGCCATTTTGATCGTGGTTCGAAATAAAACACCAGGTAAATCCTTGCAATCCTTAGCCATCTTTAGCTATATAATAATCCCATAGCGTTATAATAAAGAACGAATGACTTATCTATATGTTTGTGTTGTGATTTCGAGAAAAACTCACTCAGAAAGGAGATTTTTTGTGATGATTTTTGTGTTGTAGTCTAGCCCTGCATTATTTTCGATACCTTACATACTGTATATTTAGAACTGTATATTTTTAAAAAACTTTCTTTTAAAGAAGAGGCAGTGATACATTTGATATGTGAGATTGCTTTCGTATTGATATATCAAAGTAAACCTTCGTTGTAATTGAATTTTGCAGCTTAAAAATGGCTCCCAAAGAAATGGCAGTGGGCCTTCATAAAGGCCACAAAGTAACGAAAAATGTAACAAAACCCAAGCCATCAAGTCGAAAGGGGGTGAGTTTTCCTACAAATAATTATAGTGGTATAGTGGTATAGTGCTCAAGACTGTAAAAATAGTATTAAATGCTCAAAAGTATTTGCTTTGACAAGATTTTAGCAGCTATGCAGGGTAGAGACCTACTTTCTCACTATGAGAACTACATAGAGTCTCTAACTGTTCCAAAAGAAAACATTATTGATTGATGTAATTGTTTCAGGCTCGCAACAACAGGGTAAAGTTCATCCGTGATCTTGTCAGAGAAGTCACAGGCTTTGCTCCATATGAAAAGAGGGTCATGGAGTTGCTGAGAATTGGCAAAGACAAACGAGCACTAAAATTCTGCAAAAAGAGAGTGAGTATTGAAGTATATGCCTTGTTTACATGGGCAATAGAACAGCACTGACATGTTAACAACATTAGAAAAGGTTAAAAGTCTTTTCTTATGTCGTTATGTTGATGTTTAGAATTTCTTTGTACGCAGGCATAATTACTAAAAATAAATGAGTCCTCTGCGTTTACTAGTGATATTTTTAATACCGAGCTTTCGGCCTATGTTGATGTTGTTATGTTAGTTTCATGCAATGAAGTTACAATGATCCCACTAAGTTATGGCATTAAAAAACTTTGATTTTGTCCAGTACATTATAAATTTGTTGTGTTGTTTTGTGAACACAGCCTTAAACTGTATGCCCATGGAGCAATACAAACTGGGTCACAGAAGTGGTTATTGCTAGTTGCTAGATTGCAACCTGCAATATTATTTGTAATAATTTTCCCAGAAATAGATTTAGGGATTAAAATTGCTATCAGGGCTCGAAATAACAGCCAGTGAAAGGACAATGTCCTTCCAAATTCGCTAGATGGCCGGCCAAATCAGGTTTTGAAAGGAAAAATTGACCTACAACATTTTTAGACAAACCAATTCTCAATTTGCTAAATAAATCTTTTACAAGCCATAAAATGCTTGCCGATCTTTCTGAATACAAAAACCTATAAATTAAAAGAAAATAATAGTATAATAAAATTTTTGTCCTTTCAAAACTTGGCATGAACTTCCAAAAATGAATTTGGAAAGACATCTTGTCCTGCATATGTCTGGCAGTTATTTCAAGTCCTGGCTATACCTATGTCTGTGATTTCTTGACTTTATTCCTTATTCTTTTGTCTCTTCTTTTGTTCTCTGTTATTCTTATGTCATAGTGTGCACCAGCCCTAAACTACAGATAATTAGCACATTGTTTATATGATTTTTTGTCTTTTAAAGCTTGGTACTCATGTCAGAGGCAAGAGAAAGCGTGAAGAAATTCAAGGTGCTTTGGCTGCTATGAGAAAACAACAACAACAGCAGTCGCAACAACACTAATTTGTACCACTAGACATCAATAAAAACTGCCATATTATAACAAGTTCTTGTGCACTGCCTTTGTTTGTTTGAATCAACCAGAAACCTATAAAGGACTTGAAATGTGTAACTCTGCGCCATCCGTTGGAACATTCAAATCTGATTTGCATCTCATTCAGTCCTTATTTGGAACAATTCAATTTACCCTAGCCAACCAGAACGGGCCTTATATCTATTATCCAACAGTGGAATTTTCCAAACATGGTCATAACATTCGTTTTCAATTTTTTAGTGATGAGCTTTGCATATTCCGATGCTTGGTACTAAAGAAATGTACGGGCTCTACACGTTTCAAGTCCCTTGTAGGTTTCTGAACTAACCTTATAAGAAATGTTTGATTGTAAAATATAACCAAACATTTTGGTCTTACATAGCCTGAAAAGCAGTGGTTTCCAGCAAAAGGTTGTGAAAAAGAACGGTGAGAAGGGAAGATTATTGTCTTTTGCTAGGAACATCATTGCTGGCTAGGTTTAAAAACCTTTATTAATTGGTAAAACATTAAAATCCTGAAGTCCTTGAAAAGTCCTGGAATTGAAAACTCGTTTTTAAGGGCGCTTCAAAGTCCTTGAAAATGGGGAACATTACTGAAACTCTTGGAAAATTTCTTGAATCTGATAAAATTGACATGCTGCTTGTTAGTTTTGGATTGAAATGTAGCAGGGCTCCTGAATGTCTGAAAATTGCCACTTGGAACGTCTTCAAAAATCATAAAAATATCTTTAAAAATACTTCTTGAAAAGCTTTTAGTGCTTAAAAAGTACTTGAAAAGTCCTGGAATTTTGTAGTGAAAATGTAGTACGAATCCTGTCTAAAGTACTTATGAACCAGACATGGATTTGGTACCACCTCCTTCACTTAAGTAAGCCAACGGTAATCCTCATGACCTTTCTGAACACCATGCGATTTTGTTGGATAATTAATTTTCCGTTTGTCTACCTTGCTGATTGTTTTTGCGTAGCAGCGATTATTGATCCGCAGGGATCCCAACATGGCCGCTGCATGGCCAATGATTTTTTTAGAAAGCCAAGCATTTTGGATTGGTTTCCAATGGTTTGCCAGTTGTGTTCGGTCATCAAACACATTCTTTTTATTCCTTGGTGGAATCCAGAAATCCTGACGCTTGAAATCCGGAATCCGCTGCAATATGGAATCCGGCAAAACATTTGGAATCCGGAATCCAAATTAATGACTTTGTTACGACAAAATGAATTAAAATAAATAAATGAATGAAAGAAAAAGAAAGAGAGACTAGAATGGAATCGCATGTAAAAGTCATAGGAAATCACCAATTTCTAAGCTTCAAAAGAATTACGAGTCCTGTTTTTAACGACGTTCCTTCCTCTCTATCAAAAGGTATCTGACTTTTTAATTAATTGGGGATTTGCCATTTTGAGACTAAAACCGTCTGACTTAAGGTCAAGTGACGTCACAGCAGCTCGTGTTTATGTAATACATCATCCAATCAGACATATTTTGATACGTCCGATTGTGGTGAACGCAACACTTTTGCGGCAAATTTCTTATTTTGACCTTGGAAATACTACTTCTTTTATTGCTAGACTTATTAATGTGGTCCAGATAGCGTCGGTAAGCAAGTATCCTGTCGTGGGTCTGGTCTTGGAGAAGTTTTTTTTCATTTCCATGGATTTGAAGGCTCTTGGCCAATTGACATTGTATTGCTTTGCGCGGAAGAGACTGAATTGAACCCAGCAGTCTTCAGACTTCAAGTACAAGGGATATCTTTTTAACTTCTTCAGGAAGCTTTTTTATTTCTACAGCGATATCTTGAATACTACGAATGCCATCTCTCTGTGATATACATTCGCGAATATTTTAAACTCCGTCTGCCGCGGAAAAAGACCTGATCTTTGCAACTCTTTGCTAATTGGTTCTCTACCGACAATATCATCACTGCAAAATATTCTTCATTCGTGAATTAGAGTCATTTTGTGGTTAATTGTGAATCAGTGACCCCAGATATCCTCTGGTTTTTACCTCTACACATATTTAATCCCGTGCGCTTCTGTCAAGCAACACAAAGTGTTGATGTTTTGAACTTGATCCGCGGAGAAGCCGTCTTATTCCGCGCAACGGGGGAGCTGATCCACATTAGAACTGATGAGAGACTAAACACTCTTAGAGTTAGAACTGCATTGGTCATGAACACTGTGAGTCGATTTGTTTGCAATTTGCCATGCCATTTCTTTGCTTTTGTAGCATTTATCCACTGTTGCCGGAGCTTGGGTTCTACAGTCCATAATAATCAAGGTAATACCATGTATTACGTGAAATAAAAAGATTTATGTAAATCATGCATTATTGATATCAGTTGAATTATATTACGCTTTGAATACTAGATTTTTTTTCCGCGTTTGATGCTCAATGGATGATAAATTCATGATCCTATTAGATAAAGCTAATTTACCAACTGCTAATTCCATTGCTTTCTTTTGTGTCTCTTTATTACTAGCACAACATGATTGCTTTTCTTTCACGGGTTGATATCAAATGTCTTCAGCGTTTCAAAGCATGCCAGAATTTATTTGATATATTTAACAAATCATCAGTTCTAATAATTATTTTATCCCTGTATTCTCATTTTTCTTGTCTATAATTATGACAACTGACGTTTTTTCCTCCAACAATTTAACACCTCTCGCGTATTATTTTTTCTAGAAGAATTCGTCAAAAGACTTAAATTTTATGAATTAGTGTATCCCGAATCCAAAAGTTTTAAGTCTTCTCTTCAAGTTCGATTCCACGCTTTCAAAGAGGATTTCCGTCTTGATCTTTGGCCAAATGAAAACCTTGTCCCGCCAAATTATTCGAGGGAGACTTTACCACACGCGCGATTGGCGCGCGTGGGAAGAGTGAAGAGATGTTTCTACACTGGCAAGTCGCGCCTGCACAGTGATTCGAGCGTGGCTCTCAGCAACTGCAACGGCTTGGTAAGTTAGTCTAATGATTTTTCATGATATGGTATAAAATGATATAAAGATGGGATACGAAGGGTTAGAATTTCTGCAATTATCGCTTAGAAACATTCGAATATAATTGGCTTATAAGATCTGTTTCCCATATGATAAGGTAAAAGTGTATCATTTAGTTTCTCAAAGCGGTGAATTCCAATAGTTCCTAACCAAAAAAATGTGAAAAATGCTCCCCAGGAGCTGATGCACTTTGAAAAGAAAATCGAACAATTTAACGATAGCTTGCGCATCGGACAAAAGGTCAATCAATCCTCAAACTATGATAACAAACACATAGTGCATGGTTTACATATCCAGTAGTTAAAAATAAAAGAATTCAATCGGGACTATTGCTATCTTTGAATTAATATAACCTTTTCAATTCTTTATCTGCGCTGACCTTGAATGCAGTATGTAAACATTGATCATAGAGTAATTGGATTCGCTTAAGAAATGTTAAAAGGGTCTTAAAAGCACGCGCGTACTATTATGTAATCTGATTGGTGGTTTAGGAAACAAATCAATACCATATTTGGTCAAGCACCGCGTTACTTGAGCTAGACAATTCTTGAAACCAAATTTGGATTTCTCGAAAATAGAAAAAAAGGGAGAATGAAATAACAGGAAAGAAATCAAATCAAATAGTTCGTTCCTGTCATGGAGCGCGCGCGTGTACTGGGCTCTTGAGTAGACACCTTTTCCAATCAGAGCATGCTTTCCATATTTAAGAAATATAAAACGGCGCGCGTGTCTCTGTCCTCTGATATAAACACGGTGGGAGTTCGAAAAACACGAGAGAAGCAAGCTTTAGGAACACGAGCGTAGCGAGCGTTTCTCTTGCTTCTCGAGTGCATGTTTTTCAACTCCCACCGTGTTTATAGCAGAGGACAGAGACACAAGCGGCCGTTTTATATTTCTTTTATGAAATTTTTCGAGCGAAAAGCACATTTTGCCGGTAAGCCTTGTCTCTTTCCTCTGATATAAACACGGTCGTCAGCCAATCAAAGCGCGCGTTATATATCAAAAATTTTATAAACAATATTATAATGCAACTCAGCTACTAAGCCAATCTGGGAGCACGTTCTAAGAACTGTCACGTCTTTTCTGTTTTATCTATAGATTGGGATTATAAGACTAGGCCTGGAGGAGTATTTTATAGAACCATTTCAAAAGAATGGAGGACATTTGGTGTACAGAAGGTCAGATTTACCAACAGAGGAATCCTCGGTTCCTTTAGGCTGTTCAACTGTAAAAGGTATGATAAGGTGTTAGCAATCGAGTTTTTTGAAATACTTAAAGGTTATAGATAACAATTAGCCTTTTGACTATGTGATTTTGTTGATGTTGAAAGATCGGAATTGAGACCTTACAGATGTCGACAAAACGGTTCCATCTCTCGGGAGCTACAATCTTATGAAAAATAAACAGAACACCATACCCCGTTTCCCCACTGCAATGTTGCACACACGCGTTCATTTCCTCATCCTCATTCATTGACGAACAACATTGTAAAAGGGGATGGGAGGTTGTACTAGCACAATCATAGACATAATTTTGCAAAGATTGTAGTATTCATTGTTTTGTTTCCCATACACCTTTATCATAATGGCGGCAATTGTGTTTTTCTAAAATAAGATAGATATGAATATTTTGTCACTGTAACATCAAAGAACTATCAGGAATAAACGTTTTTGGAAAGTTTTAGAACTCTGCACAAAATAGGAAAAAAGTTACGGTGAAATAAAAATACAAAGAAATGTATGTAATTTTCCACCAATGGCTGTCTGTCTATTTGTTTCTGAATATGAAATATGTGAAAACTTTGTCACTGTCATGTGAATGAACTACCAAAAATAAACATTTTTGGAAAGTTTTACAGCCCTGGATAAAATGCGAACAAAGTTATGGCGAAATGAAAATACAAAGAAATGTATGTAATTTTCAGCCAAGGCCTTTATAGCCTCGTTCTGGTGTTATGATATATTTTAAATCCTTATAACTTCACCAGAATTTAATATTTTCATTTCAAACTTTTACATGTTGTTATTAGCACAGGTTCCTATCAGCTGTTAGTTTACTTTGACTAAAATTCTAAATTTTAAAAATTTATGTTAATTAGATGGCGGCCATTATGATAAAGGTGTATGG